TTATTGCAAGAGACTTCAATCAACCTGGGACGAACTGAAGTACCGGTTGTTGTCAGTCATGTAGTGTTGAACTTGTTGCGGTATTGGCTCCTAACCATACGACCTTTGAAGCCAAGCATATAATTACTGAGGAAATTTACGTTAAACATGTGACACTCGGAGAAAATTAAAAATAGTGAAGGCGGGAACGGCTGTTCGGTATTGCAAGACACAGCCTTTTAAAGGTGGTCATTCTCTGTAACCCACGCCTTTTCACAATAAACATGTTACTTCACCCCCAGCCGAAGTGTGTTCATAAGACGTTTTAGACGTTATATTGCTGAATGTCATACAAGGCAAGTAAGTGTGGAAAATCATGTGATTTCCAAGTAATATCTTATAGATTAAATGGTTATGTCATGAAAAATTTACAATTTTGGAATGGGGTCAGTTATGAAAATAATGAGGACAAATATACTAATACTGAATTAAATCATAAATCCACAAATTCATGGCAGCAAAATAACATGCTCTGCTGATCCTAATAGGCTTTTGCCCAATCAAGGCATGATGCTATACTTGACCTAATATTCTAAAAGATATCACGCTATCTACACCGAAACCAATACAAAAACTCAGTCGGTAATAAAGTGTACGCACATGCCCTGACAAAATTCCCAGGCTTGGATAAATTCCCACGTTATAGTCTCCTCAATGCTACTGACACGTTATCTTTGATCACCAACTTATGTACAGATTCCTGCTCATCTCTTAGGATGTACAGGTTTAGAATGCCTTATGAGTTATTTAAACCAGTAAAATATTGCAGTAAATTAAGACGCCTGAAGAAACGTTGCTATAGGTCAAACGACTTCATGACAGTCGTCAAATTAAAGAAAAGCATAGGTTTGAAGCCATTAGTTAGGAGTTTTAAATACTTAATAATAGTTGTACCTCTACATATCCACAGCTTTGGACATGGCTAATCACCAGATTCTCATGGACAAACCCGGATCGTATGAATTCAAAAACTATCTGTTTGGTTGGTTTTAATTCTCTCCTCACTCAACAATTCCAATTACTAAAAGTTAACTCCTATTTATCGGATGCTATTCCGATAAAAAAGATGCTCCTTTGATCTTTTTAGTTTATATAAATTTTATTTCCGGTTTCTTTGGCATAACCAAGTCCGTTTTATGTCCAGATGATCTTAAATTAGTAAAGCATTTTCTCTTCATGAACTGAACAATAGGCGAAATGGAATCAGTACAGAGCTAAACAACATAGTCCAGTTGTGCCTAAAATGGTAGTTGGAGCTTGATACAGATAAATATAGATGGATATTCAAGTGCAATACCTCACTCAACCTAGATCTTTCCATAAATGGTAAAGTGTTATCCGAGTCACATATAGTAATGAACTCAGGATTCAGGTATCCTTACAACTTGCCCTTCCCAGTACAAGTTCCGAAAAAGCCTTCGAAACCTCACCGCCTTACAGGTTTCATAATCCTCTTACGCAACCATTCACGTGTTTTGATGTGCAAATATGTCTTCGATCACTCTAAGAATACTTTGCGTTTATTCTTAGTAGTGTTTGCATAGATTATAAAAAGGCCTGGAATTTGTTCAGATATAGTTAACATTTCGCATTATTAGAACTAATCATATTTTAAATTATAAATCCAGAAGTAATAAACCTGGACTGGACCCTTTAAAGAGGCAGAGACTCAAAATAAATCTAATTTCTTTCTTTGAAATACTTGATAAACCATGTTTTACATCTGATGAAATCTTTGTCATTAATGGAATATTCTCGCTCTAAATATTCTCTCTATATGAATTACTTTACCCATAAATTTCCCGGACTCTAGAATAATGTACTACAACCTGTTTGTGAGATGAAGTCGCTTCCATCCCTTGTTCGATCCATCGATGTTTAATTATCTAGAAATGTGCTTATACCTGTACGTATATTCCATTTCACAAGTGAGAGTATTAGAACTTCTAATGCTGAATCGTTTTTATTGCTCATCCTACTAAGTAAACCACCATACCTGTTGTCACCATACTTTAACATCATCCCAGATAACCTTTACAAGTTTGAATAATACCTAACACGAACAAAATATCATAAAATAACGTAGAAATGTTTCAGGGTAGAACTAATTGGCCATCTGTGGTGTTTGTATGAACTAACGATTCCTTCGCACTTGTTGAATGCTTGATTTCGAATTCCAATTATAGTACATCCGTTAATTCTTATTTGGTACTTCTTGTTCTTACTGCGTTATTTCTGGGATTCTTGGTTCGTACTATAATTCAAATACTCCTAATCATCATATCATCATAGTAGTTATTGTTTTTGTTGATCCATCATTTCTCCTTCGTTTTAATTTCCCTAAATGTAGATGATTGTAATCCGTTGGTTATGGGGCAAGAGATGACTTCAGATGCAAAGTTCATAAATCAACTGGGTCTTCACTTAGAGAAAATTAAAATTTTTGACTGGTGTTTTTCACGGCTGTATTGCATGTGAACAATGTAATGCCTATATCTTTCCTGGGCAAAAACACGTGGAACAATGTATTGTCCAAAATGTCTAATATATTTAACATTATTATCATCATCAAGCTGATCATGCCTATAAATAAGCATGATTTCTATACTTGTTCTTTTCAGAACATATATAAAGGTTTCCAACATCCACTCGATTTTCTACTGTTACCGTAAAGCCTTGAAATTCACAATAGTTTTATTCTATATATTAAATACGTCTTTGCTTAGGTGTAACAGTTTTAATATTATTTCACCGTAAATGGTCGTTGTTGAATTTAGACGCAGCCACTAGCAGGTATTCATAGTATCGATCAATTTTCCATATCTATACAAACTAACGTGCTCTGAGCCTCAGATGCCACACGCACTGAGATTTTCAGCCGTTTTGAAAACAATTCTGTCATGATGATACCTCTTTCTAGACAAAATCTACGTTGCGAATTCTTCGTGCCGACCACGAATTGAAAGACGTTGGACACTGCAGATGTGTCTTAGTAGAATTAAAAACTTGCATGTTCTAAAACTAAATGACATCACCATGTTATGACGCACATAAATTACAGTATATCCTAAATAGAATCAAAGAGGATCAAATTTATGCATGAGTAATTAGGTATTTTCATGTGACGGTACTTTGACGAAATGAATAGACAACCTTGCAGTATTTACTTGGACTACTAGATCAGCAGCGAATCCTTATCGGCAAAAATTGTGTACGCAGCTTTCATAGGCATTTATTATGCGTCATAAAATCTACTGCATGAACCGTGATGTCAGTTAATCTGAACTAGTGGACGTAAGTTTCGAGAAAATGTGATGTCATGAAAGCTCACAGATATGTTCACTTTGTTTTGCGTCTTCAGGTAAAGTTACTCAGAGTACTATTTTGTCCTTCGGAAATGTCTGTTATTTGAGGATCCCGGTGCCAAAACGTTTACACTTTCTTTGAATTGAATCGTATCCAGAGCCAATATTCTGACCGTAACAAGCTTGATGAGCTCTTCCCATCAGTCAACTGATGAAAGTCACTGTTCAGAAAAGCCAAGGTAGGGTTTTCTGTGTGACGATACAAGTTTGAACCATTAGGAGCAAAGAAAACGATTATCGAGACTGAACAGACTTTCGAGCATTGAAGGGCGACTAATGTTATAGATTCCATTTTGTCGTTACTACAACGACAGCCCCTTCACCCGAAATTCTTGTTCACGTGACAAATTATATCAAATCTTTCTAAGTCAACCGCGTTAACCTATATTTTATCATCTCACGTCACTGGAATGATGTCAATAAATGGCAAAAAACTATTCACATGCGAGCGAAGATAAATAAATTTTTGTACGTGTCAATGAAGTTAGAGTGGTTTCGATGAGACCCTCATAAAGCATGGTTTTCATACTCTAGCCATTTTTACGAACTTATTTAACCCTTGAGTAATAGGATGTGCTATGCATACGTCATTTCTGTAGTTATCATGATACATTTTATCTTGTTATACCCTGCTTCTTCGAACCTGTTCATTTGATGAATTCGAAAGAGTCCGATGTGAACTTAACATGATTACTTATGCTACCTTTGTATTGATATACGTGTCGATGTTTCACTGCACTGTCGCTGAAGGTCGTGACGCCGTTACGTTTTCGAGTTTTCATCTTTGGGAAATGAATGAATATTGATGCTTGATAGCCTTGTAGTGCCTAATAAGTCAAACGATGCCTTGAAAAATGATACAAGCAATAAGGATTCAATTTTTTGCGACTACTACTCGAATCTTCAAGGAAGTATGTCGGAATAATTTTCTTTTAAAATTGTCTAAAGGATTTTCCAATTGCAGGTTGAGGGATTTTTCTAATATTTCGGAAACATTGAAGTTTGTAGAGCATTTGGATTTATCTCGAAACTTCATCACAAATATTCCGAGTGGAATCGAACAATACAGATTGCTTACAACTTTGGATTTAAGGTATTTCAATTTCTTTATTTCAGCATTGTAATTCAGCTTCAATAAAATTTTTTCTGTCCCGAATTCGCTATGCAAATTACCGAGCCTTCGGATTTTGTTAATGTCTAACAACTATTTGTCTTCTCTTCCTGCAAATATTTGTGAACTTCAAAACTTGCAAGAGCTGGTAATTTCCCTCATAAATGTCGAACTGCATTTCAGGATTTATCATTCAACAGGTTTAAATGCTTTCCTTCTTCGATTTGCTCACTTCGCAGTTTAAAAGTTTTACTATTAGGATGTAACCTGATTGAAAACCTTCCAGAAGGTATGTTCGTTCGAAGTATGTACTTCAAATAATGGTAATTCGAAGACGCATAATTTTTGGCGCATATTGCATCTCTTTTACGTTTACAAGTTTTTAAGTTTTTGTCTAGAATATATATACAATATATATATATGGCCTATAGGTCATTTAAATATATTCCAACGCTGATATATGGTGTCTTTGCTTGTAATTAATGCTCTCAACAGAATTTACGAAATTTACTGATACCGACAAAATATCTGATGGTTCATAACTGATACATTAGCATTGCATTTTTGTGATGGAATTTCATCGGTATATTTTGTTACTCCGAAAACTAGATTTTAACTCATTTTTATGGTGGCCACCTCATCTTTTGGTCAAATATAACAGTGTAATAGTATTTTAAAACTGAAGGTCTAAGGTATTCTATGTTGTGTCATATCATTTTCAGGTTACCTTCCTTTTTTAGAATACCATTTGCAGTTATAACAAATTTAGTAGTTCCACATAATGGGAATGCTATGAGCGTAAACTTTAAACCAGATTAAAGGTAGAGCTATTGTTTTCTCTGATTGAAACATTTTCTAAAAATTAGTGATTACAAATATTGTTACTTTCATTTGTTGAAAATTTGATATCAAAACAGCCTAATTGATCAATCGTTAATTTTAAACACTGAAAAGATAGAATTTCACTAGCCTTTGGCCAATCAAAAGACGTCAAATACATAGTTCTATGTTTCTAAATTACCCTCGTTTTACTCTATAGACTTTTTATTAAATGAAGGAAGGCAAAGTAATGCCGGACACAAATCTGCTGTTAAAACATTGCTATACCAAAGCTAAAAGGTCGTGAATTCTTCAACATAATTTGTTTTTATTAACTTTACTATTATCTTGTCATTAAGGAGTGCATAATGTATTGAAATAGTATTTTTTTAAACTACCGATTGTTGTTTTCCCTTGTAAGAAGCATTGTTGTGCCACTTAAAGTTATCATTTATATCCGTGTCACTTGCCCCTTAAGTAGATGGCTAAAATATTATGATCTTCACTTATCACTATACGAGAGCAACTAACAACAATCTTCCTAAATCCGATTCTACATAGTATGCATCATGAACTTGTCATTAAATACCAGCTTTTTAGTTGATGGACGAAATTCATTGTAGTGCATATATTGAAATTAGTTGGCAATCATCTTTTTTCTGACTAATTGGTTGACATTTATTGCGCTTCAGGTTTTCTTCCCGTTCCATTATAGATAATATTAATGGTGTTCTTTGTGTAAAATAGTGGATGATGTGTCACTAGCCGTGATATCGATGTGTATCCGAATCATTGTTAAGTTCAGGGCTATTTGTTAACATGTTTGATTTCATTTTTCAGTTGAGTATTGCTAAGTATCTGTAGCAATCAAACTCTGTTATCCTACCCAACAGAGTCACATCTGCGGATAATAGGCGAAATTCTGTTGAGACTAAATCTCTTTGATAATAAGTCGTGAGTTATCTCCGGTTGTGCACCTGTTGAGGCCATTCACATACATGCTTTGCGTATGAAATCAAATATCATATTATAAAATATAATTGTCTTTAGGGGCTCAGAACTCATATACTAACAAGGAGAATTCCGTATTAACCTTTTATTTCTATATTTTCTATTTATATACATTCATAAATTATAATTTGGTCTTTTTGTACTTCAATTTTTAGACATAGTTGGTCTTCGTTGTTTGAAGATTTTGGACTTGCATTCGAACGGAGTAAAGCAACTACCTTTGAGCATTAGATTTATGTGGTGTTTAGAGAGGTTATCTCTAGCGGAAAATCCCCTATCCCCTCCCCTTTTAACTGTGAGTCTTATCAGTGAGCATGCTCAAGCACATTATTTTTTTTGAGAGCTTTATTGTGAACATATTCATCAGTTATCAACTTCACAACCCGATTCGATTCCATCCCAATAATTTAAAACGGTATGAGATACATGAACTTAACAGAAGTGGTTTTGGTATGATGTAGAAGAATCATATCACTCTTAGATTTAATAAATATTTAACAGCGTTTTGTGGATTTAAATTTATCTGTAAATCACATTTATTAAAAGTGAAGATAAAATATGATAGTTTCATTTGGATAGAACATTAAAGCGTTTCTTTGTTTACAAAATATTCATTTTACAGTCAATTTATGTTACAATTCTATTGCATGTTGTGAAAACCATTGAATTGCAATTTATTTACGCACATTTATGTGCATATGCTCTGCTCACCTTTATAATGCAATTAAAAATTCCACTGTGGATTCCATCTCAAAATATTTCTCTTATTTAGTCAATATTTTCTTCTGATAATTCGATTATAAGATTTTTTTAAAAATAACCAATTGTCACCAACTGACGATGATGTTTTTATTCTAATTATTATTTGATTAAGATTTTGTTTACTTTACTGTTAAACATATTTATCAAGAAGGCCAGATTAACGACCCAAAGTAAACTATTTCTAATCATTATACACGAATATTTAAGTTTATTCGAATTTTGATGCAACAATGGAAATGATGAGGTTAGAAGTTATTTTATGGAGGACTGTCTTTAATCTAAGTTTCTGCACGTTAATTCATACTCTTTAGTGTATGAAATGTTTGTAGTAATGAAAGAAAGCGAATATAACATCCGTTGTTTAACAGGGAAATGAAGCCTTGGTTAAAAGGATGTTATTAGGATGATAGTGATATTTAGTAGAAAAATCGAAATCTTTTCTTATGGAATAATATAAATTTTTTATGTAGAAACAGCATTCATTAGAGATTTCTATACTACTAACATTGAAGTGATGATTTATTAGTCTTAGCACTTGGTTTTCAATCATGTGGTAATTCCTTGACTTAAACCCTAATTCACCTAATTTAGGGTTTGATCAGTTCAGCAGTATGTCACAAGGATTCATAAAAAAGTATAAATCAAATCTTGATACAATCGGTTTCTCGTTTTATATTAATAATCATTCATCAATTTCACATTTTAAGTTATTTCAATCTGGTACTTATTTATTTTCACCAGTTGGTAATATTAGCATTAATCTTTGCTTACTCATGAATAATTTAAACAAGATAGATTATATGCATGAAAATATATTTGCCCATCAACTAACTAGTAAGCGTTTTCGACTTGATGGTCAGAGCTTAATGTCATTTAACATGACGTACGGGAAATCACATTTATCATATTTCATTAGAATTATTCCCTGATTGTGTAACATTTTATAGATCTTGTTTATTTTTCAAGAGACATATACCTTTCTTTATTTGAAAATAATGACAGATTGTTGCTCGTGGGATCCCATACATATTTGCATTTTTAAATCAACAAGCTTTATGCAATTCAAATAATACAAGTTGCGAAAAATTTCATGATTCGTTAACTCAATCGTCTTCTGCTCATGTAACAAATACTTCAAATCAACAGAATACGATGAAACTTTCTGAAAGTCAGGATGTGAATTCAAACTCTTTTAGTTCATGTTTTGAGAAAACCGAGGTAAATACGGATTCTGGCCAAAGATACATATCGAAGTCTGAAATTACAAAGTAAGTTTACCCTTCATATATATCTTTAAATAGATCGTTTATCACTATTTTTCCAAGGCCTTAAACAATTTGTTAAGTAGTGGTTTTTAGTCTATGTGATATCACTTTTTTCGAAACAGAAACACTAATAAACCGTAGACGTCCTTTCTCATGCCCCAGGATAGATGTATTTACTGTTTTTTTTCTAAATATTGAACATCCTCTTTCTTTATGTTCATGATTCTTTCTCAAGTGGTTTTTTTTTTCGTTTTATTTTACTATCCTTCGATTTCTCCTAATCTTGTCTTCGTCTATTATTTTGATAAATACGATAAATTGAAAAGATACTTTCTAAATTGAATCTCTACATTTTCATATCAGGCAATGTAAATCGGAAAGAGAGAGAGAGAGAGAGAACGAGAAAAGAAACTGGACTATTATTTTGTCATAGTCTATGATATCTCGTTTGTTCATACCAACTATCAACTAGGATGTTAAAGTCTTGTAATGAGCTTTATAAAACTAAATCACCTGCTTTGTATTTTCTAGGTTCAGTGTTTTATAGTTTATAATGATTTTTTAGTTTATAAATATGACATTACCATGTATATGAACATTCTCAGCCCTATTCTTAAATTATTAAAACAATAAAAATACAGAAGAATCTATTTTTGTAATAAAATGAACATTAAATGGAGTATAATGAATAATAAAATTACTATTTATTTAAAATGCAAAATTAAGAAGACAAATTTTGTCAGTGTTAATGTATATAATTTTATCGATCTGGTTTATGTAAATTTTACTATAAAATTACAGATGTTTTGTTTTTTTGTCACTATGTGCTCTATCAATTGTAACTACAGTGTTTCAAATTGGTGTATGTACATATATGCAAATACAGATAAACTTTATTCTCTCTCTCTCTCTCTCTCATATATATATATATATATATATATATATATATATATATATATATATATAGTGTATGTAAACACATGTCAGTGTAAGTGTTTATGTCCAAATGCATATTTTTTTGGTTTGTATTACTTCTATTTAAATCCAATGAACTCTTTCTTATATTCTATGAAGTACAAATACGTTATTAATCTTCATTATTGAAGAAAGAATAATTTATTATTGTTGAGAATATTTCTTTTCGAATATTGATTTTTAGTTAGTCCAATATTCAATATTCAATTTCATATATATTCCATTTTTATTCGGATACTACTTAAATAATAAGTGAATAATTTATTTAGTTAGTGTATAGAGGTAAAAATGGAGAATAAAAAAAATTCAGTCCTTGGTTGTGTAAACATTATTCTATATTTCAAATTAGGTTACACTCGAATGATTGGTGTTAGTAGAGTTAAGTTTTAGCAAAGTAAATAATTAAGATCAATGTATCATGTATTTGAGTTGAATCTGTTATATCTTAACGAGAATAAGGAATGATAATTGTTGGGATCTATTTACAGTTTTATACTATACATATACTTTTATTGTATAACTGTTGAGTAACTAGATTATGTATATTTATATTCCTCTTATTATAAGCTTTATTTTGACGTACAGACTATTATTATACAACTTACTATTCCTAAATTATGCCCAGTTTATTAATAACAGTCTCCCATAATCGCGATCAGCTTTGGTTTGATTTTGTACAGATGTTATTTCTTATTTCATAGTGTGATGTTATCTGTTTGGCTTGTATATAAACCAGATATGTTTGAAATAAATGATTCGTATAGTGGAAGCTGGTATTAATGTTCTAGACTCAACTGGCAGAGCTAGGAAGAAAAGGACCAGTAAAGACGATAGGCTGCTTATACCGTCGATACTTCATTTGTTTGGCATAGTGTTAAGATTGTGCAAGTCGTATTCCCATTCACGAATGAGTCATGTGATAAATAGCGGGGCGTAAAGTCACAACAGTATCGGTTAGGATAAATTATGTTACTTGTTTAAATTGAATTCAGTTCCTACCATATTTCCTAGAATATTTATATTTTGAAGGAGATTGGACTGAGAGATTAAGAACATTTTCGTACTTGGGTTTCATATGCCAATTTAATAGTTATTACTGTTAGTTGAAGATAATTCAGTGTGGTTGATAATGAGGATTTATTTAAAAGATATTTTCATTTATCATGGTGCCTATTTAGTAAAAAAAAAACTTTCACTATTACTTCAAATCATAACAATTGTTAGTGTTAAAAATTATATTGACAATCAGTTATTTGACAAAATCAGATACATTAGTTTTATATTAATTCATGAATGTGTCGCTAATTTCTGAGTGTACATTAGTTGAATTAATGGATGCAGTTGTCGCATTCCAATATTCCAGTGACTTTAGGTAGTGTATAACTTTATTTGTAAGATATTTCTGTTTGTCTGTGATGCTTCATCGTAAATCTTTCAGATCACTTTATTATTCTTTAGTCCGAGTTAGTCACTTAAAGTTTTCTTATCTAATACGTGATTTGGTTCCTAAAGACACCAAGTAAATTATACTTGAACCATCATTTTACTCACTGCTTTCAAATATTTAAGATGTTATTTATTTATTATTATTTATTTAAGCAAATAAATATTGGTACAAAAGGGCACCGAGTACATATATGTCACACAAGTCACTTGATTTATGTGTGAGCTGTAATACTGCCCGGATGCCCAGACCGAAGCAAGTGGTTTTCTTAGGGGGTCACACCCGGAGCCTTCCACCTTAAACTCTGAACCACAAGGCAGTGGAGCAACATCAGGAGATGAAGTCAAATAGTAGTCGGTGACCAACCATTGTTTCATACGCCATTTGTTCCTTCAGTATATTGGAGCCCATGTGGATCATTTTATTTGGGATCAGGGTTTTGCAACTCCCCTAGGTGGACTCATCGTTTCCGCCAAGCTGGTTAAAGCGCTGGACATTCGTTTTTGTTCTCTCAATTTTTCAGACAACACCGGTGCCGTGAGAAAGCAGTGAGTAGGACTTTACTGATAGTGGCTGTATACGTGTGGCAATGTGAAAGCATTTCAAGAGGGAGAGCTGACTTTCCCCACTCTCGGCCGTACCAGGGCATTTGGGGGCATTTAAGATGTTGTTAACATCCATAGTCGAGTGATTTTATCTTCACCCTCCAGAGTTAACAGTCAGTTAAATGTTTTAGCTAATATCAGTATAGGGGTTGTGGAGATTGTTAAGTTTTTGATTGAAATCATGAACCGATTAATGCTAGACCACCATTAAAATCCTTGAAACACTGGACGGCCGTTTCATCCTATTGTGGGACTCCTCAGCAGTGCGCATCCACGATCCCGCTCGCGGGATTCGAACCCAGGGCCTTCAGTGGTGGTCTAACATCGATCGGTTCATGATCTCAATCAAAAAGTTTTAGTTAATAATTTGAAACTTTAACAACTCTACTCTATCAATTATTTTAACTGATCTCATTAAAATTAAACATTTATTCCAATCACATAACCATATTATTGTATTTATTTTGTTGTATTTTTGAAAAAAAAATAATAAAACTGAATAAAATATCCTACTCAAAGTCCTTCGTTGACAATTCAAAACTTTACTTATTCAACAACAAATAACAAGAATGAACGATTTGACAAACCAAATGCTGAACTACACTCAAATAACTATAATTGTATTGAGAATTTCAGTCATAATGTATCAACACAATCTTGTATAAATGAAACATTGAAATCTGGATCGTCATTTAGTTCTTATCAACTGATGATAATGAATCACTAACAATGAATATGTATTCTTCTGCTTATGAGGTATGTTATATTATACTGATATAAATTTAAATTTTTATGTATATTTTTACAGTCATCACCTGATTGAAAACAATTAACATAAATGTTTGAGAAAACTGTTGCAAAATCTGTTCAGCGTTTCTAAGCTAAAAATAGTTATGTAACCGATGTTATGCTTTTTGTTAGATAATGCTGATCGAATACCATCTATCAGATTACTAGTACAAATGGCTTGATATCAGCAGGAATCTGATTATCTTCAACCACATAACATGAAAAAATAGGTTCAGTATTAATGTAGTCATTTAGTTTGGTGGTAACGTTTCGAATTAATCTTTATCATTCACTTGGAAGTACGGATTAGAAAAATGACATAGGCTAGTATTCAGTGTGAATTGATCACTTTGACAGGTCTGTTGGGGCTGAAATAACCTAATGGTAATGTCTCTGACATTATGTGGTATAATTTCGAACCTAATGGCAGGGATTATGTAAGTCATGTAATAGCTGTATTACTTATTATCCATTTCTATTTATAAATAAACAATAATTACTGATATACGTTTCATCATAAGGTTTGCTTTTATTTTATCAAACAGTTTATCTTTTACTATTTCAAACTCTCTTTTTCCGTTTCTACCATATTCTCACAATCAACACTACTATTTCGTTGTCCCACCCATTAAATAACTTTATCCAACAGACTCAATCTGTAGTTAGTTTTAATTAACTGGACTGAATCTAGATGATTTGTTAAATTAGGAGTTTCGTTTATTTTTTTAAGGATAACAATTCAATCATTGTGTATACTTCTTCATTGCATACTACTACTATTGCTTGTTAATCGATTGAGAATTGTACCAAGTAGAAAATTCACTCTAGAAAACATTAGGAAATTAACATTGATTGTATCAATAGTTCATTTACATTCTATTCTATATATGATTAAGCAGTGAAGTTGATTTGAATAACTTTCTTTTTAATGTATGTCTTTACATTATGTTTACAAACAAACAAGCAAACAAACAAAGAGATAAATACTTAAATATGTATATACATCATCATTAACAGACAAATGGGTTAGAATTTGTCTATACCTTAGGAATTGTTTGCAAAATCCGCCCATTTTTTGTATATATCTCATACAATACAGTGAACTTTTGACCAAAACGGTTTAAATTATAACCCTAATATATATATATATATATATATATATATATATATATATATATATATATATATATATATATATATATATATATATATATATATATACAACGGCTATATTATCAGTATTATTATTTCCTATTACAAAAAAAAAATTAATGAAGAAAAGTTTATCATTTAGTAACTAGGTTACTTATATTCTACTACTCGAATGTTAGTTGAATGGGCATGGAAACAGTATTATTCAGTTTGTTTTAGCAATTAAACATTGAATAAATTGATTTATTATTACAATTTATTATTTTAATTTATATAAAGTGCTAACTTATTTCTCTTGATAAAATAAGAATAATAACCATAGAAATGAAGGAATTACTTCGATTACAAGTTGGTGTTAAGAAACAAAAAAATGTAATTCATTTTATTAAAATTCAACATTTGTTAATTATGGAAAAGGGGATAAGAATCAACCACTACATTGAGTCATGCACTTTAAATGTGAATTACATACTATCTATCAAAACATGTGATGTTGTAGTTATTTATGGTGTATAGAAGAATATTGATGAAATCTTTGAATAATCTTGAATGATTGTATTCATCTGTTTAAGTTAGTGAAATTTAGTAGTGTTTTTAGCAAAGTTGTATGCTAAATATTTCCAAGTACATTTTTTTAAAAAAAAAAGATAGAATTTAACTGTTTTAGTTATAATATTATGTGTATAAACGTAGCCAATGTAACAAATGTACTGATTTGTATAGATTCAATTAATTGTGTATACTATTGATACTTTTCGTTTGTTGAAATCATAGTGGGTGGGACTTTGTTTAGCCTTGTATAAATAGTAGAATGAATTTCTGAACACAATTATTTGAATGTGTTCTTCTTTTTTTGGCTAGATATAATGTGCATAATAGAAATATACTTAATCTGATTAAAAATATATCATCTTTGGGGGATTGATGATATGACTTGAATTTAGGCGTATTATCTACCGTTTAATTAATCCCAATATTGAAAGTTGTATCTATGACTAGATACAATGAAAATGAACAATTAATACATTATATTATTGAAGATGATTTTTAAAAAGAATTATTCTAGGTTCAGTTTAGGTGTTTCGATGAAAACATATTCTATAAAAATATTGATTTATATCATATTACCATAATAACCATCGTTTCAGCTATTGTCTAATCCATTATTCAGTTTCCAATTCATTTTACAAGTGTTCTAGATGTTGTTTTGAATACATGTCAATTAAAACCTTTATACATAGTTGTATTGTTTACACCTACATAAAATCTTATATTGACTTTGGTATTTTTTTAAAATAGTTTGCTTGAACTGTTATTGAAGGCTGACTATAATGCCCTGGTACGGCTGAGAGTGGGGAAAGTCCACTATCCCTCTCAAAATGCTCTCACATGGCCACGTGCATACAACCACTGCCGCGGAAGTCCTACTCACTACCTTCAATTGACGAGGATGCTGTTTAAAAAATTCCGAGGGAAAAAAGCGAATGTCTAGCGCTTCAACCGGGTTGGTAATCATGGAGAGTCCACCTAGGGGAGTTGGAAAACCCTGATTCCAAACCACTGGTGCACATGGACCCCATTACCCTGAGGGAAAGATGGCGTATGAAACTTCACCTATGGCTTTTCCAGAGTTACTGCCGGTCCAAAGCCCAGGCAAAGGAGGAGGGTTGGGCATGTGGTTAGCGGCCCCATCACGTAGAAAACTAACTCGCTAAAGAACGCTAACCAGAAAAAATTATTCAAACCATTTAAACTCTGCCCTGGGAGTTAGAAGGTCTTCATTTAGAAGAATTATGACGCCTCATGGTGAAAGTCGAGTTCCTTTGGAAGCCACGAGACCGATGCCCCTTCTAACAACCACAGCAACAATTTTTATAGGTACATGGAACGTCCAAACAATGTGAGAGAGCGGAAGACCAGTCAAATAGCAACGGAAATGCGGAGATACAACTTGGCAGTACTGGGAATCAGCGAAACCCACTGCACCCAAGCTGGACAAAAAAGGCTAAATACGGGAGAGATGCTCCTATACTCCGGTCACGAAAAGGACAATGCTCCACACACTCAGGGAGTCGCTCTAATGCTGTCCAAAGTAGCACAAAATGCACTTGTAGAATGAGAATCTTACGGATCCAGAATCATCAAAGCATCATTCAAAACAAAGAAGGAGGGGATCTTAATGAATATTATCCAATCTTATGCACCCACCAATGATAGCAACGCCGACATTAAAGATCGATTCTTTGAGAGGCTGCAATAAATCATAGAGAAGTGCTCAAGAAAGGACCTCACCGTTCTGATGGGAGATCTAAATGCCAAAGTCGGAATAGACAACACCGGATATGAAGATATAATGGGACAACATGGATTGACTGGGAGAGAGAAATAGAAATGAGGGGAGATTTGCAAATTTTTGTGCATTCAACAAATTAGTCATAGGAGGCACAATATTTCCACACAAGCGTATACACAAAGCTACATGGATCTCACCGGACCACACTACAGAGAAGAGGTTCTGGGCCTGAAGAAGCACTATCATAAGGAATGGATCTGTATAGAAACACTGGACAGGATGAAAGAAAGGAAGAACAAGAAGACAGCAATTAACAACATCCGAACACGAACAGAGAAAGTCCAAGCACAAGCTGAATACATAGAAGCAAACAAACAAGTGAAGAGGAGCATTAGAGCCGACAAGAAGAAATACGTGGAAGAACTAGCAACGACGGCAGAAAAAGCTGCTAGAGAAGGAAATATGAAACAGCTTCACGATACAACGAAGAAACTAGCAGGGAAATACAGTAAACCAGAGAGGCCGGTCAAAGACAAAGAAGGCAAGCCAATCACCGAAATTCAACAACAGTGTAACAGATGGGTAGAATACTTCGAGGAACTCCTGAATAGGCCGGCTCCAATGAATCCACCGGACATCGAAGCAGCACACATAGATCTTCCTATAGATGTCAACCCACCAACGACGGAAGAAATTAGAATGGCCGTCAGACAAATCAAGAACGGGAAAGCAGCAGGACCCGACAACATACCAGCTGAAGCACTGAAATCAGACATCGAAGCAACCACAAGCATGCTTCACCTTCTATTCAAAAAGATTTGGGAGGAGGAACAAGTGCTAATGGACTGGAAAGAAGGACACCTCGTCAAGATTCCAAAGAAAGGAGATCTGAGCAAATGTGAAAACTACAGAGGCATTACACTACTGTCAATACCAGGGAAAGTCTTCAACAGAGTGTTGCTGAACCGGATGAAGGATGCAGTAGACGCCCAACTTCGAGATCAACAAGCTGGATTCCGTAAGGATCGGTCGTGCACAGACCAAATTGCAACACTACGGATCATCGTCGAACAATCAATTGAGTGGAACTCATCACTATACATCAACTTCATTGATTATGAAAAGGCATTCGACAGTGTAGATAGGAGGACATTATGGAAACTTCTTCGACACTACGGAGTTCCTGAGAAGATTGTCAATATTATCCGGAACTCATACGACGGACTACAGTGCAAAGTAGTGCATGGAGGACAGCTGACAGATGCATTCCAAGTAAGGACCGGAGTCAGACAAGGCTGTTTACTCTCTCCCTTCCTCTTTCTTCTGGTGGTCGACTGGATTATGAAGACCTCAACATCTGAAGGAAAACACGGAATACAATGGACAGCTCAGAATCAATTAGACGATTTGGACTTCGCAGACGACCTAGCCCTCCTATCGCATACACACCAACAAATGCAGACAAAGACAACCAGTGTAGCAGCAGCCTCTGCATCAGTAAGCCTCAACATGCACAAGGGGA